GGCAGGGCAGCGCGGAGCGCACAGGGAGCGCAGGGATGTGGGCAGCCCCAAACTAGGCGCGCTCTGCGGAGGCAGTGGCTGGGCCCTCCCGAGGCGGGATGCAGGCGGCAGTCTCCCCCCTCCCCTCCCCGCACTCATCCAGGCGACACTCGCCTCTGCCTCGTCTGACCCAGCTGGCCAGCCTGTGGCCCTGGCCTGTGCAGTCCTGAGTTCCTAGGACGCCCTCTTTGCTGCTCCCAGCTCCTGGCTCACACAGGTGCCTAGGAGCATGAGAGCCTGGAGCCTGTGATGATGGGCATGTGACCTTGCCATTGTCATTCAGGGCGTCCTACTGTGTGTGGAGCTCTGGCATGCAGGCACTTGGAGGCTTCCATTTCCCAGTCCACAGGCATGCGGCTGAGTGGAGATAGTTTACACGTGGATGTCGTGGGCCACGCACACCCCAGTATACTCAACCTTCCCTTGGCAGGAAGGGCTGGGTAGCCGCAGGAGAAACCCCTATCTCTAGTTAATGTCCATGCAGCCCTTCTCCTGCGCCTGCTCCCCAACTGAGTCAGTTGGTGCCTAAAACTGTTAGAGGAAAGGAACTGCGGGCTGGGGATTTAGCTCAGGGGCTGGGGATTTAGCTCGGCGGCATAAGCACCTGCCTTGCAAGCAGGCGGTTGTGAGTTCGATCCCTGGTACCAATAAAAATGAAAAAGACAAAAAAAAAAAAAAAAAGGAAAGGAACTGCACCCTGGGAAATAAGACCCTAAGAGGAGCCCCTCAGTGTTTTGGGCACTTTGCAGTGGATATCTGCTTAGATACAGTGCCTGTTTCAAAGACTTGGAGATGGCCTGCAAGAGCGGCAATTGAGTGCTTGGGAAATGGTTATTCTGGAAAAGAAAGAAACAAAGAAGAGAGAGGGGAGGGAGGGAAGGTGGGGGAGGGAGGGAGAGGAGAGGAGAGGAGAGGAGAGAAAGAAAGAAAGAAAGAAAGAAAGAAAAGAAGGGAAGGGAAGGAAAGGAAAGGATCCTCTCCAGACATCCCCAGACCTTTCCTCTCCTGTGCACAGGGAGGGACACACACACACACACACACACACTCCTAAGACTGGAAGAGCAGGAGGGAACCTCAGAGAGGGACAGTAGCCTGTGGCCTCACAGTCTGGGTTGGCCAAGTCCTAGTGGCCAGCTCTGAGTTCTCAGACTTATCCTGGGCAGAAGAGACAAAAGAGGAGTAAGGTGGTGAAAGGGGACTTTATGGGGCCTGCAAGGGAGAGGGACCAGGAAATGATTTCACCAAAAAGAAACCCTAAGAGTCCTGTGAGGACTCTCTCAACCAAAAAGCCTTCTTCCCCTCTGCCTTTGGGGACCAGAAGTTTCTGATGTACCATATGCTTACCAGTGTAGGTCACAGAGTGCCTATCTGGCACAAAGCCTGACGCCAGCACCTATTTACAGGAGTTGAGGAACAGTTACAAAACACTGTGTTGCAGTTTCCTCACCTATAAAATGCAACTCACAATAGTAGGTGACCCTTGAGGGAACTGCTGGGCCTGAAGCACCTGGGATGATGTGGACACACAGTTAATGCCCTTGAATATTGGGAGTACAAACTCTCACCCCTGGATTGACAACTCCAGGTCATTTTCTTGGCACCTCTGACACCCAACACCTGCATGGAGACAGAGCCTAAACAATGACAGAGAAGTCCAGGGCTGGTGGGGATTCGAGTTAACATGGTCAAATGTCCACAGGGATATGTGAACTTATTAACCCACCCAATAGTTCTGTAAGGCAGAAATTCTTGTCCCCATTTTACAGATGCAAACATTTAGGCACAGTGTATTCACAAGATCCACCCAAGTTCTGCTCCTGCTTTCTCCGACATCTTAGGAGGTGGAGAAAAAACTGCTGCCCCAGGATGATACATGTCTCCCACATCAATGACCTCTACAGGAGTGGGCTTGCCAAGGAAGAGGGGTAGATTAGAGCACACCAAGGAGGGGCCAGAGTTGAGACTGAAGTTACTGGGGAGCCAGCTTTGGTGGCACAGACCTGGTAGATAGAAGCAGGAAGATTGCCACAAGTTCTCAGTAAATAAAGTTATCCAGAAAGCCTTCATCTCATCCCAGCACTAATATGTAAGTGCCCACATATACGTGTCCAGTCTGCCACCAACCTGCCTCTCATATCTCACCTCTCTTCTCTAACTCCCCAGACTGTTTTGCTCTGACGCTTCATACCACCTCTCACAGAGGCCTTCACCCAGTCTCCTCCCTTGCTCCCCTGCAATCTGTGGTCCGGATCTCCAGGAGGCCTCCTCTCCAAATCCTTCCAAGGAGTCTCCACAGCAGAACTCCTTCATGGCTCTGCTTGCCTCCCTGTGCTACTAGCCTTGCCTTCAGGTTGGCCTCAAGGAATCCTTTTCAGGTTCCCAACTACGTGGGCTGTCCCTTCTTCGGGGAATACATTCCCCATTTATCCCCTGCATTTAGGTTCTATCTAATCGTCTCGCAACCCCATCTCCTTCTACAAGTGTTCTCCAGCACCCTGGCGTGTTCCCCTGCTTTCCAGTCACCAATGCAGCCTGCACCGTGAGGCTTTCAGCAGCTTCTCTTTGCAACCAGCTAACGTTCTCCTTGAAATGCCAGCCATCGTGGAATTCATCTTAAAACCACGGTCTGGCACGGTGCGGACTCGCAGCGCCCGCAGCCTTATGTTAGCCGGGCTCCTCGACGCCTTCGGCCGAGGGCAAAGAGCTCAGGTTTAGGTGTCAGCTGTGCGCTGTCTGCATGGAAGCGCCCCCGACGGCCTTCTCCACTCTCCTCACTCCGCGCGGGGCCGCGTCACTAGCGAAGTCTGGGGTTGTGGCGCGACCCAGAAGGTTCGAGGACGAAGGCTTCCCCTGGGCGGACGTTTGTCACCCCAGGCCGAGGCAGCGCTCCGCTCCCCCAGGGCCTCCGGGGCTCCGCTCGGCCTCCTGGGGGCGCCAAACCGCAGAGGCCGCCGTGGGCCATGAGGCCAAGGCAGGGCCAGCGTCCGTTCTGCCCGCACCGCGACCTGGCCCGCCTGGCGGGCCCCACCCTGCCCCCTGCTCCTCGCTCCGGCCCACGTTTCCGCTTCTCGGCCCCTTTCCCACCCCCACTGCTCCTCCCTCTCGCGCCTCTTCCTGCCCTTCCTCCCTCGCCCTGTGGCCCGAGTTGGCGCGGGGTAGCAGGTTGGTGGCGGCGGGAAGTGCGCCCTCGGCTGGCGCGGGGCTGGCGCGGGGTCGCGGAGCTCGCAGCGTGATTTGCCCTCGCTCGCTGCGGCTCTGCGGGGTGACGGGCGGGGGCGTCTCCGAGCGCCTCCACGCCGGGCGGGAAGTTCGGGAGCCCGCGCGCGCCCGGGGAGCCGTGCGCCTTTCATGCACTCACCCCGCCTCCCGCCCTGGGCCCACGACACTGTCCCCCACCGGCACCCCTTCCAGGGGCCTGCGTGCACTGCGCCCTGGTCTCCAGCCCGGAACCCAGCGCGACCTCCCCGGCTGCGGCGCCACGCGAACCCGGCCGCCGCGGGCCGCGCCACAGGACTCGGGCAGAGACCCAGGCCTCTGCGCCCCGGGCCGTCTTTTATTCCGCTTCTTCTCTGACTCCTCCCTCTTTCTGGTCCTCTCCTCTTAACTTCTTCCCCTCTTCAGCTTCCCTCGGTTTCCTCCGCTTCCATCCTCGCTCCTCTACTCCCCGCCCGACTCCTGCACTATCTTCGCGGGTTTAGCCTCTCTCTCCGCGCGCTCCCTCCCGGCCTCTGCCTGGCGAGGGGGCGCCGCGCCCTCCTCCTACTCCGCCCCACCCGTCCTCCTGCGGCCCCGTCTGGCGGGCCCGGGCCGGCTCCCCCGCCGCCGCGGTGATTTATTCGCCTCACCCGGCGGAGTCAGGTGCTGAAGCGAGCCCCGGAACGAGGGAACAGATTTTCTCCCAGGAAGGGTTTTGTGAGCTAAAGGACGCTAATTACCGGGCGAGGGCCGCGCGATGCAGAGGGGAGGTGCGCGGGGCCCAGTGCCTCTGACCGGAGCTTCCCCTGGAGCCTCGCGCCCCCGCACCCCTCGCCTGGCTTTCGCTCTTCCCTGGGAACTTTCCTGTCTGAGTTAACTATTAACCGCTGGCGAAAGGCAATTTTCTTCGGAATTTCAGCGATTTCCTTCTGGAGGTGCAGGCAGATTAACATGCAAACGGCGGCGATGCTGGAGCCTGCGCGCAGGCAGGCGAGGATGCCTCTGTCCCTCCAAACTGTCCTGGGCACAGCGGAAAACTACCGCCCGGGCCCCCACCGCGGACTGCGCAAGCGGGCGTGACCAAGTGGTGCCGGCGGGTGCTTGGGGTGAGGGTGGAAAAAGCCGCGCGCTCTTGGCAGGTGTGAGATGGGCAGCTTAACCTGGGGTAAGCCGAAGGCTCAAAGCAGCAGCCCATACTACCAGGCAAGCAGCTGGTCCTTGCTGGAACCTTGGTGCACGGGGCCTTGTGTTGGCATAGGCAAACTCAGGGGAAAGCGCTGCCGGGCCTGCAGAACCCCACCCTGTACCTCTTCACTGTAAGCCACAGTCAACAGACTGAGCCTCACACACTCATACTCTCAGCTCTGGCCTGAGCCAGCTGTGGACTTTACCCAACTTGAGCTGCTGGGCACAAACTCCTAGACTTTTTCTCCTTTCTGGCCCGCCCTGGTCTTTCTGAAGCAAAGAAGAGATTAATGCTTGCCTCCAGAATCTCCCAAAGTGGCCTCGCTTTGCTGGGACATTAGTCCTTGGCCACCTGCCATGCAATGGGCAATGGGCAAATTCTTTGCTGAAAGGCACTGGTACTTGCAGCAGTGAAGTTGGCAGGGCCATGGCCACTCATTGCCCTGCATCTGCCTGGCCTGGTCTGGCCTGCCGTAGTGCCAGCCTGGACCCCAGTTGATTGTCAGGTCAGTTGCTGGGTTTTGTACCTGCTGGAGTTGTGAACCATTAGCCCTTGGAAAGGCCCAGCACCCTACTTTTACCTGCCACACTGTGTTCACCCACAGCAGGGCTCCTTCTGCTTCTGCCTCCATCTCTGTCTCTGTCTCTCTCTCTGTGTCTCTGTCTCTCTTGTTTGTTCCGAGCAGGGACACTGATTGCGCCTTATGAAGTTCTAACTGGTTTTGTGTCAGGAAGATCTTTCTCGCAGCTACTCAGCCTGGCGTGACGGATTAAACATCAACTAGTTAAATAAAAATTAATATCAACTGCCTCCTAACTTCTAATGTCATGTTGTTTATAACTAATGAACTGATTAGGGGATAAACACATCACAGACATTCAGCTCTCCTGCTTGGGCTCCTCTGCAGCCCGCTGCCCACTGCCCACTGCCCACTGCCAGCTGCTGGGCCAGGAGGGGGCTGTGCCGGGGTCCAGGCCGACTGTAAGACCTAAGAGCACCCCAGGGCTGTCTACTTTGGTCTTTTTCATTCCCTCCCTCTGTCTGTTCTCATTCTCTTCCTTTGTGTACTTTCTTTTCTCATTCTTCCCCTTCCTGTTCTTTATTTCTACTGCTTTCCTCCCTTCCCTTCCCTTCCCCTTTTTCCTTTTCTTTTGCTCCTTGGCCTCTGTCCATCAGACTGTGCCCAGGTCGTCTCTCTTCTGTCTCCACAGTTACTCCTTCTTCCTCACCCACTTTCCCTCTTTCTGCCAATTTAGCCTCCAATCCATCCCCGAGTCTGTCTTCTCCTCTCCTCCCTCCTTTCTGCCCCTTCTTTCCTCTCCTTCCTCATGTGGATCCACTCTGCCCTGGCCTGTGCAGAGCAGTATTTCCAATTTTCTTGAGTTCTTCCCTGCTAGAAAGTAGGAGGCTGTGGCCTCTGCCTCAGCACTGTATTACACACACACACACACACACACACACACACACACACTCATTTACACACACACATACTAGCTGCTTAGTGAGGAAGAAAGAGAGAATAAGTAGTGGTGAATTTCCTGTTTGTCCTCTGTTTAATCAGAAGAGTAAGGACATAGAAGGGGTTTTCAAAATCTTTTGTCTTTTCTCTTGTCCCAAAAGCATTGAATACAAGTTCAAGTGTTAAATTTAATTTCAGAAAAATAAGATGGGGCTTTGGTTCCCTCACCAGCCAACCCCATCCCAATGTAAGTGGCTCCTATATGGCCCTTCCCCTAAAGATACTTAAACCAAATCACAATTGTCATCATGAAAATGTGTAATCACAGACCCAGGTCTAGTGATTTTTCCCCCCTAAGAAGCCACAACATTTAAACTTGGTTTGCCCTGGACCTCAGGGTCTGACAAGATAATAACAACAGAAAAAGCTTTTAAAACCAATTTAGCACACATGAAAATGTAATTCTAATGAAGAATCAATAGGCTGGTGGATCATTTTTCCTGGGACTCCTTGGAGAACCAGAGAGAGACTTACAATCAATGGGGCAAGCAATGAGCAAAAGGGCCCATGAGACAGTGGGACAAGGCTGAGGGCCAGGACACAAAGACAAGCAGAACCTGGCCTGCTGAGAGGGCTGAGACAGAGTCTGCATGTGGGCCTGGCATCACCCTGCAGCTTCCAGAGGAAGAGTGGCAGAGCCTTGGGCTGAGGCATCTCATTCTTTCTGGGGGAGGGGGCCCTCCAGTATGTTGTAGGCTGCTTAGCACAAAGGCTTCCACTGCCTCCCCTGGGCCCAGGCCTTGGCTCTGGCCCTGCCCCAACCTTGGGTCCTGTGTTCAGGGAGCTGTGACCAGCAGGTTCACAAGCAGGCAGGGGACCTGAGCCAAGTATGTAAGTCTCCATTTCTAGCTCTGGTACCCCAGGGGTACCTCCCCAGCTGTGTGCCTAGCACAGTTTCTGTTACCTAGCACACTAGGAGGCTGAGGCAGAAGGATTAAGCAATTTAGTGAGACCTTATCTCAAAAATGTTTAAAAATGTAGCCAAGCATGGTGGTGTACATCTGTAATCCCAGAACTTAGAAGGTTGAAGCAAGAGGATCAACGTGAGTTCAAGGCCAACCTAAACTACATAGTGAGACCCAGAATCAAAAGAAAACAAAACAAAATCTGTCTTTTAAATTTAGGAAAGGAAGGAGTTGGGGACATAACTCAGTGTGGAGTTCTGATTAGATCCCTTGTGTGTGGGGGAGGCATCTGGTGTATGCGTGGTCTCACTCCACATTTCATCACCCATTTGTACACACATTATTTCCCCAGAAACTTGTGAGAAGGGCAAGAATTATTATCACCACCCTAGAGAGGAGGAAACAAAAACACAAAGAGCTGTGCCTTGAAGGTATGGCTCACCCCACACACATCATGTGTCCCTGGGTGTGGCCTGAGGCAGTGATAGGGACAGGCTAATTTCGCACAGTACTGGAGCAGCTACACGGATGGCTGTGTGTGACTAGAGTTCAGTAGTGCATATTACCCTCCTACCCCTAGAAATGTTGTTCTGTGTATAACAAAAAGAAAAAATAGTTTTGCTTTAAGTTTCTATGTACTTGGGCTGGAAAATCACTAAAGACAAAAAAGAAAAGAAAATCCAACAAGGTCTGGGATGGGGCTGGGAGGAACTCAGTGTCTTGAGATCCTAGGTTCAATTCCCAGCAGCACAGGAGGGGAAAATAGTTGGTCAGATCATCAGCTGGTTGTGACTGCTCTAAAAGAGGAGAAAGTCAGATTCTTGTAGGAAGATTTCAAGAGCTTGCTGAGGAGCTGTGATGATGGCCCTTGTCACCCTGTCACTAGGCCCTTGTCACCCGGCAGCTTTGTCACTACATGCAGTGGGTAACCCTTCTGGGGGACAGGCAGCGAAGTGTCCTGAAATGTCCCGGGGGAGACTTCCAGCCCCACCTAGACCTGGGTCAACCCATGGCCTGTCTTCCTGGGGCAGAGGTGTCTGTGTGCCTTCTCTGCCTGCCATCTGCAGCCTGAGCTTCCCCAGAGGTCTTGCCTGGACAGCCTAGGTATGAGGGAGGTGGTAAGGTAAGGAGGCCCAGGGTGAGCAGGAGTCTGAGCAAAGTGAGTAAAGGGGAAAGGGGACAGTGGGGAGGCAGGTGCTCATGAAGGCTGTGTATGCTCACACGCATAAGAAGTAGGGTGCAAGCATGCACATATGAGAAAAGTGAAATATGAGAGATTTGAGAATTTGCAAGCAGGGTGTGAGAGGCTGGCCTCCAGGCTGGAAGAGCATGAGGCAGGGCAAACACCAGGGGCTTGGAGAGGGCATGAATGGAAGGGAACAAGAGTCCTGGGCTGGGGGAGGCAGAGCTCTGCCCCTGGCCCTCTGCCCCTGGCCCTTACCATTTCTTCTATGTGAGAAAGCCAGGACTGTCTCCTTTTATTGAGTTTTTAAAGAGGTTCCAGAGCAGAGAGCTTGCAGAGGGACACAATGTGCAATAGCGATCGCATGGGTGACAGGAACCTCTGCGAAGGTCTGTGTGTCCTGCAGACGCTGGGAAGCATCCGTGGAAATCACGAAGACTGATCCTGACCCAGAGGCAGCCAAGCTGGCTGTGGAGCCTAATGGTCGGATAGAGGGGTGGCGGGAAAGGTCGCCGCTGGAAGTTGGGCAGTACTCTGCAGTCTACAAGAGGGGCGCATACACAGTGGAGAAGGGGTGGGGAGAGGGTGTGCCGGCGTCTGGACCGGGATTCGGTCTCTGAGTGCCTCCGGCAGCCCGCGAGGGTGTCGCTTGCCTGCGGCTGGCTAGGATCTCGGTGCGTGTGCGCGCGCGTGCGGGGCGGGGAGCCCGGGGCTCTCGGCGGGCTGTGCCTGGTGCGGCTGCAGGGTGTGAGCACGGGCGGCGCGAGCCAGCGCACCGCCACCGCCGAGGCAGCGGGCGGCGGGGGTTATCTGAGCCGCTCGGTCGTGGGTGGCTGCGCCCAGATCACCGGGCGGCCGGCGGCGGCCGAGGCGAGACGCGCTGAGGGGCCGCGGAGCAGCCGGGAAGCAGACGCAGGCCCGGCGGCGGTGGCGGGGAGCGGAACATGGATCAGCGAGCAGGCCGGGCAGGTAGGAGCCAAGCGGCCTGGAGGCGCCAGGCGCCGGGGAGGCCAGGCCAGGGCGGATCCCACCCTCCTTTGCCGTGCTTCGTAACTCGCGCCCGGGCCGGCGACCGGGGCCGCCGGGGACAGGGACGCCTGCCCGAGACCCTCCCTGCCGCGGAGCCTCGGTGCCTGCCCGCCGCCCAGGGCCCATCAGCCTTCTGATGAAAACTTTCCACCCAGAAGACTCGAGTTTTACAGCTCCTCCTGCTCTTGTTTTAGAACTTGCCTTTTGCTTTGGGTCCGGCGTTTAGGGTTTGAACTTTCCACTTTCTCTCGGGGCGGACATGTTTTGTGTAACTTCCTCCGAGTCAGAGTTCCCTGAGATGGGCGTGGGACTATGCCAGTAGGTGAGAACTGGGGCGCACAAGCGTGTGCACACGCGTGTGTGCCTTGTGTATGGACTTATGAGCCGAGTGTACATGTGTCATCTGGGTGGGGAGCAGGCTCTGATCTCAAAATCAAGACAGGCCTGGGGACAAGGAGGCAGGCTCCAGAGGACAGAGGAGTAGGAGAATCTGAATCTGTCACCAAGGGGCTCTACTCTTTTTTCCTCCCAACACCCACCCACCCCCCCCACACACACAGCCCATTAGGTGTGTCGTGGTGTAGTGCAAGGTGGCAAACCAAGTACCTAAGTTTAGTTTGGAACCCTGGGAGCCTTGGGTCAGGTTTCCAGAATTTTCCAAATAATTGCATAGAGGTCAAGGCCTAACGCTGGGTGCTTTTGGCCTCACTCCTCACCTTTCCTAAATCTCATTTCTCTCCTCTCTGCCCATGCAGCTCAAATTCCAGCTCTTTCAGCTGCTAACTCAGGTCCCACTCCAGCTCTGCCCTCTCTGTTTTCTTGGCTCAGTCCCTGGGTTGTCCCCATCCCCCCAGGTCCTGGGGCCACAGGGGACCTGAGCCCCCAGGAGCCTCAACTGTGGCCTCCTTAGCTTTTAGGGCTTTGGGCAGACCCTCACACCAGAGGTGGAAGTAGGGAGATCAATAGCAAGCAGTTGTAATGATCTAATTAATTATGGCAAAATTAAAAGCGAGTACAAAATCAATCTCTGATGGTGTTGAAGATGGAATTCATTTGAGTCCATCTGTGTACCCCCTGGACTGCATAAATACG